GATAATTTTAGATTATTAAATTTAACATTTAGTACAATAATAACAAAATTAAATATTAAAATTTTGATACATTACCAGCTAAGCTAAGAAACCCATAACATCAGCATCATCTTCGAATTTGCTCACCAGATTTGCTTCTTAATTACAGAACACTAGATTCCTTCTCGATTTTTTGTATTTCACCACCTTCTCCTTTTTACGTTGAGTGCATTTTTGAACTGATTTTCTGATATATATATTTTCTCTATTGTCTTGTCTTTTACACGATAATTAATATTGTATATTTTAGTTTTGCAGTATATCATAGCACATTCAACTCAGCTATTTTTGTTCCGCACGTGAACTTTCTGATCTCACTTTATTTCTGCAGGAATTTCTTGATTGAAAAATAAATATTTCAAAAGTTAATTTTCTATTAAATTTTTTAATAATGTGCAGTTTTGTTTTTATTGTGACTTAATCCATTAAAACTTATTGTTTTTTTTTTTTTGTTTTTTTGTTTTTTTGTTTTATTGTCGATAATAATAATCCTTGTTGATAATAATTATGTTTTAACTAATATCTTTTATTGATAATATAATTTCACAACATAAATTTTTTTATTTATTCGTTTAAGTTACTCAAAACACTCTTTTTAACATTTACTCGCACGGTATACTAATTTTAGTAAATGAAAACACTTTTTAATTAGGTTTTATTTTCAACCGAAAATTCTATCTTTACCGCTGCCACCAATTAATTTGTTATGAACTTAAACAAGCTGTTGATGTTTTGTTGGCTTGACTCGAACTGAATTAATAGAATCAAGCAAGAGCTAACCCAACCAAATCAATTATGCTGAGATTTGCATTCTTAAGATAAATGCGGTGGTGCTTGTCGTATGTAAGTTGATTCCTATAGGAGGAACCATAAGCGCAACATTGTTCATAAGGAACACAAAGAATACTGTGTGCAGCTTGACTACAGTGATTATAGCTGAATCAGCATAAACAGTAAGTAAGCTTCAATGCACTTGAAATAGTGTAAACAGGAAGCGTTACTTTGTGTGTAGGACAAATTCCTAAACAAAAAAACCGTGATATTGCGTTTTGTTTTTATTTGTCTTGATACAAAGTAACACAAAACTTAATTTGCCAAATATGGTATGTGGAAGTAATCCACATAACATCTTCAATGTTGAAAAATTCTTCTGCTCAGTTTGTTGAATAATGCCATTAAAGTCGTTGTTCCGATTATTAATGTTTTTAAGTTCCCTTACATAATACGCAGAGTTTCTATAAGAATATAACTGACTGCGGTTATGTGTTCTTGTTGAATGTTTGAAGTGGGTGAGTCTAGAGCTTGTGTCCATTGATTCTGGTTTTATTGCTTTTGATGGGTATCTACTAAATCTTGAGCTCGTATTTATACGTTCAGGTTTAGCTGTATATCTTTAAATGGATTTTAGAAGTTACTTCTGTAATTGTAGTAATTGTTTGGGTAACTATGCGTATTGTTGTGTTGGAACTGGTATATTGATAAAACTGTTGTCTTTTATATCGTGGTAAAAATTATTCTTGGCTAGTGTGTGGCAAGTACTGGGACCTAGTATAGTAGGTAGAACCTTTCCTATGATAACATATGTTTTGTTCTTTTATGCAAAAGGATAAGGCAGAAGCCAATGCATGGGGTCGCATTACCCTAATACTAGAGCTTAATGGTTCTTTTAGACCAGTGAGAAAATAATTCAGACACATTTTAAAATGTGAAGTTATTGTTATATAATGTTCCTGTTGTTATGTAGGAAACTAAGGATACATTTATATTATAAAGAAATTTGTTAGGGGTTAATTCTAGTTTTCCGTATGGGTTCTTTTTGATGTCATTCTGACATTTCTGTGGTTATTTGAACCAACCTCTGTTATTTCTACTATCAGTGTCATTTTGGCTCGTCTTGATCTGTGCCTTCGTGTGGTGTTTTCGAATTCGCTTTTGTAAAACTTTTTGAAAGTTATTCATCAGAAGCAGGAGATTGTTCATCGGATGGAAAAAGAGGCGCTAGTCTTGTCAAAGGACGTCTTAGTTCCTGAAGCCATTTTAACATCAACCACGCGAACAAGACCGTCATCTCCCTTATATACCTTTGAAATACGTCCAAGTGGCCATTTTAATGTAGGAACATTATCTTCCTTGATGATTACAAGGGTACCTTCTTTTATATTTGGATTGGCTGCTTTCCATTTGTGTCGACATTGTAGTTCAGTGAGGTACTCGGTTTTCCAACGTTCCCAAAAGTCCAATTTGAGGCGAGAAACTAATTTCCACCTTGTCACCAGATTTATATTTCCTGATTGGGCCTTTGCATCTGCCATTGCTGTGAGTGGTTCTCCGATTAAGAAATGACCAGGTGTTAGTGCTGACAAGTCATTCGGATTACTCGACATAGGTGTCAATGGTCGAGAGTTTAGTATTGCTTCGACTTCTAATACAACAGTCTCTAGTTCCTCATATGTTAGTGACGTGGTCTTACTACTTCGTATCAATAAGTGTTTTGCTGATTTGACTGTTGCTTCGCACAGTCCACCGAAGTGTGGTGCACGAGGAGGTATAAATTTAAATGTTATTCCTCTTTCATTACATTCGTTAATTATCTTCTCTTGTGCCTTGTTTGCTTGAATTGAGTCTGCAAGTTCAAGTAATTGATTGCTTGCTCCCACGAAATTTGTGGCATTGTCACAAAACAAATTCTTGCAATGTCCACTTCGAGCAACAAAACGTTTCAGTAATCCGATGAATGCATCTGTGGTTAAATCGCTGACTACTTCGAGATGAACTGCTTTAGTTGTAAAACAACAGTACACAGCAATGTATGCCTTGTGTGGTTTCTTGCCTCGGATTCTGTAATGTATCCAAAAAGGTCCGCAAAAGTCCACTCCAGTGGTGAGGAATGGTCGCCCAGGTTATACTCTTGTCGCTGGCAAATTACCCATCAGTTGTTCATAAAATCGTCTTACTTTAGTACAACGTACACAATGTTGTACTACTGACCTTGCCATCAATTTGCCCTTAATTGGCCAGTATCGTTGACGCATGTTAGCTAGGAGAGACTGCGGACCACAGTGCATGTATTTCTTATTGTTCCATTATTAATTTGACAATGGGGTCGTTATAAGGCAACAACATAGGTTGTTTTGCGTCATACGATAATGAGGCTGCATCCAAACGTCCACCAACTCTTATGATGCCCGTATTATCAATAAAAGGTGCCAGTGATGACAATGCACTGGACTTATTTATTCTTCCATCAGATTTCATAATTTTGATTTCATTTTTGAATTCTGCATATTGAATATTTTTGATGATGACCTGATGTGCTGCATCTAGATCATCTGGAGTCAAAAAATTGCTTGAATGATCATTTTGTTTTCTTCTGGTTCTTTTTACGAATCTTAATATATACGATAATATCCGTTGAAGTCTTCCAAATGAGTTGTTGTGTCGTATTGAGTATATGAACTCTCCAGGATTTGCTGTGCCTTCAACAACAGACAATGTAGATACTGGAGTTTCCTTCTTCCGTTCAGGATCAATGAGGGTTTCGAATTTTAACGCTGATGATGGTTTTGAAGGCCACAGTTCTTCCCGACCATGCAGGAACATAGGTCCATAAAACCACATACTTGATGACTGTAGTTTGTGGGGTGCAAGGCCTCTTGATAAAATGTTAGCTGGATTGTGTTCCGAACTGACGTGGCGCCAGTGTTTTGTGGCTGTTAATTGATGAATGTTGCTTACTCTGTTTGCAACGAAAGTGTGAAACTTTGATGATGGAGAGTTGATCCATGATATCACTATTTGTGAATCACACCTAAAGAACGTCTGGTAATTTCTTATTTGTAGCTCGTTCTTTATTCTTGTTGCTAGTTCTGCGCCAACCACAGCTGCACAAAGTTCGAGACGAAGTAATGTCAACCTTTTCAAAGGTGCAACCCGAGATTTGGCGCACAATAGTCGTACAATAATTTGACCATTCTGAAGTGTTGATCGCAAATACGCCGCAGTGCCATATGCCTTTACTGATGCATCTGTAAAGATGTGTAATTAAATGTTGGCAGGAACTTCGCATTTGAAAATATGACGAGATATCTGCAGACAATTTATTTTTGTCAAATTGTTCCGGAACTCTAACCACTGTTTATGTAATTCAGTCGGCTATTTTTCATCCCAATCCATCTTTAAATTCTATAATTCTTGAATAAAGATCTTTGCCATCACCACAACTGGTGACAAAAGTCCTAGTGGATCAAATAGCCTTGCTAAATCTGAGGTTGCACTGCGCTTCGTCGTGCTGCAAACAGGTTCCAATATAACCTTGACGCATAAACTATCAGATTTTGGATACCAGGATAATCCAAAATCCAGTAATCCAGTAAACTTGGATGATTTGCGCAATTTAAAACCGCTTGCTGTCAGTATTTTGTTTAATTGACTCTGAGTTTCCAACAATGTTCTCAGACTATCTGCCCCGTGTAAACAGTCATCTACATAGAAGTTTTGTTTGAGAGCAGATGCACCTAATGGATAATTTTGCATATTGTTATCAGCTAAAGCTTGCAAACATTTGGTTGCTAGATACGGTGTTGATCTAGTACCATATGTTACTGTGTTGAGTTCAAAGTACTTTATAGGTTGACTTGGTTCATTTCTCCAAACGATAAGCTGACATTGTCTGTCTTCTGGATGTACAAGTATTTGTCGGTACATCTTTTCAATGTCTGTTGTAAACACATAACGAGGAAGACGGAATCGTAATAAAATAGACAGTAATTCACTTTGTTGGTCCGATGTGTAGTAAATCATTGAGAGATTGCCCTGATGTTGTTTTGGATGATGCATCAAATATCACACGTAACTTGGTGGTGGTACTGTCGGGTTTAAGCACACAATGGTGTGGTATAAAGTAATGTGGTGACATAATCCTTTCAATATCTATTTCGGTCATATGTCCCAATTTTTCATATTCATCTAAAAACTACGTATTGTCGTTTGAGGTGACTATCCTTTGAAAGTCTACGCTCTAGTGCTAGAAATCTATTTGTAGCAATGTCTTTCGAATCTCCCAAAGCGAATCTGCCATTTATAAAAGGAAGACGTACGATAATTCGTCCCGTAACATTCTGATATGTAGTTTGAGTGAATTGAGCTTCACATTGTTGCTCTGCTATTGACAAGATCTTTGAGTGTGTATCAACTTCTTCAACCTTCCAGAGTTGTTCTATTGCATTTTCTAAACTATCTTCTGATGCTATTGTGTTAGCATTTTGGATTTTTCCAGATACGATCCATCCGAGCACAGTGTTCTGTAGAATTGGTAGTTCCCTTGAAAGATGTATTTGACCAGGACTTAGGAGTTGATGATAAAATTCTGCTCCAAGCAACATATCAATTTTGTCAGACTTATAGAATGTAGGATCTGCTAATTGGATGTTATTGGGCAGATTCCAATTTGAAATTTGTAAGTGTTGCGATGGTTGATTGGATACAATTTTTGGCAACACAAATGCTTCAAGTATTGTTTTGTAATCGGTCACTTTTGATTGCACAAAAAGTGTTGTACGACTTTTAGAACTCAATTTACCTATCCCTATGTCTTCGATGCAAATCGAACTGGAGCTTACTTGCAGACCCAATCTGGATGCCAGTCGTTCAGTCACAATATTTATTTGCGAACCTGAATCCAATACTGCTCTGCACTCGACTGTTCTTCCATTAGAGTTGGAGGCTAAAAGTTTTGCTGTTCCCAAAGGAACGCAACTGGTATGACCATGATTGATGGATGACATTAGAGTTGTTTGTGCAAGTGGCCTTGAAGTGTTTTCAACTAACTTATGATTTGATGGTTGAACTGGGTGTCTATTTTGATGCAACAGTGTATTATGTCTTCTATGGCATATAGTACAACCCCTGCTGGAGCATATTGTAATGCCATATGACCAGGTTTCATGCAGTTTGTGCACAATTTATGACGTTTTAGTAAATCATACTTCTGTTGTATGGATTTACGTTTGAAAGTTTCACATGAAAATAATTGATGACTATTATTGCAAGTAATACATTTTATCCTGAGTCTGTAGCTGCAAGTGCTACTGCTGGATGTCGTGGTTTGTGACTTTGTTTGTGGTTTCCATTCGTCATTGATTCGAATGCCTGAAATCTTCCTTCTAGGAACTGCAATAATTCTTTTAATGAAATTATTCTTCGGCTGTCTTCTAACGATTGCTCGAATGCTGTATGTGAAGCTTTGTCTAGCTTTCTAATAATTACGTGAACCATTATGGCGTCCCAAGACTTAACATCAATACCTTGAGCTGCAAATCCATAATAACATTCTTTTGTAACATCATGTATGCCCTTAAGTCTGCTTGCTGATTCTATTATTATATTTGGTTGTGATAACAATTTATTTAGTAATGCTGTCACCAATAGTCGTTTGTTGTCATACCGATTTGACAGAATATCCCAAGCTAGATTGTAATTTTGCTCGGAAATTGGCAGATGCCGTATGAGGGCTTTCGGCTCAACCGCCAAATTTGTAGATAGATGGAACATTTTGTGGGCTGCGCTTATTGTGTGTTAAGTTTTAATTTCTTGTACATTTATGTGTTAAATATTTTATTATACAATAACTGTTATTTACATTGTTTGATTGTTTATAAATGTTTATCTAAAACCGCATTGACTTTTATAAATGTGTATCTGAAAAACCGCATTGACTTTTATAAATGTGTATCTAAAAAACCGCATTGACTTTTATAAATGTGTATCTAAAAAACCGCATTGTTTTACGGCTGTATACCGCGTGTGCTCCTTTTGGCTTTCGGCAAAAAACTGGCGTCATCACACATGACAGCTTGTGGGCTTGTTCAGTGCAGACAATTTTGGTGGGTGTTCAAATGTAGGCGAATTCTCAACATCCCCCCCTCCGTAAATCAATTCGATTTACCAAATGGTAAGGCGCCAATACGGTTGGCTGGTCGACGAACTAGACCTGCTGCAGTTTTTACTTCTGCTATACGGACTTGACCATCCTTGGCTGGGAACACCTGAGTTATGCGTCCTTTCTGCCATTGGCTTCGCGGCAGGGCTCGATCACAAACTATGACTAGGTCATCAACTTGTAGTAAAGGTGCTTTGGAGTACCATTTCGGGCGATGCCAAAGCTGTGGTAGATATTGTATAACCCATTGTTTCCACATACGATTCTTCAAGTTTTGTGCGATTCGCCACTGTTTGTTTAAACATATTTTTTCGTCGTACGGCTGTGGCGTCTGAGTGGAGTTGGTACATCCTATCAAAAAGTGATTTGGTGTAATCGGTTCAGCGTCTTCAGCCATAACAGGTACGTCAGTAAGCGGACGAGAGTTTATGATATTTTCAGCTTCAATGAGTACACTGCGAAGTGTCTCGACTCTTGGTATGACATTCTTCAAAGTGTGGCATAACAAACGCTTGACGATACGAATTAAACGTTCCCAGCAACCACCAGTGCTGGGGTTGGCAGGGCAATTGAAAATCCACTCGATGTAATTGTTGGAACCCTCCTGTTGGATGCGATCGGTGTCTAACATTTTCTCATTTGATCGTAATTCTTTTTGCGCCCCTATAAAGTTGGTACCATTATCACATCGAATGCGTATTGGGTACCACGCCTGTTCACAAAATTTCGTAAGCTAAGAATGAATGGGTGGCGGCTCTTGTGGTAAGGCAGGTAAAAATTGCAACCCACCTTTTTTCTTGTCGGCGACCAATGGCAACACTAACAGGACCAAACAGGTCGACACCAGTATATGTGAATGGGCGTATAAAAGGTGTGAAGCGATCTTCAGGTAATTGACCCATCAATTGCGGTAATGGTTTGGCTCTCTCAATTTGGCAGGTTGAGCATGTACGTTGAAGGTTTTTTATGACCTTTTTGACATGTGGCACCCAAAAACGTTGACGAATTTCATTAATAGCCACGGCTATATTTTGGTGATGTAATTGTTCATGAAAATAGCGTACAATTAATTCTGTGACGATATGATCATGTGGCATCAAGATCGGACATCGGGCATCCAGTGGCAGGCACGTGGCTTCATCAAGACGTCCATGTAAACGTAGTAGTTCATGCTCGTCCAGATATGGCTGCAATTTGTAAATCGAGCTACTCTTTTGAATGTGCTTACCTTTATGTAACTGGTCGATTTCGTTCGCGAAATTCTCTTTTTGAACAATTTGGAATATCTTTAATTCGGCTTTACGCAGTTTATCTACAGTCAATGATAAGAATGGCAGCTTCTCTTTCGGCATGACTTGGCGATTTAAAAAAAAATTATTTTTCCAAAAAAAATATATCGCTTTATAAAATTTAGTTTTAAACAATTCAAACACTATTCATGACATTTTACGTGCTATATTATTAAAATTTAAATTCTTTTGTTTTACAATTTACTTTGTCTTAGTTCTTGTATTTAAGTGATTTTCTTTTAACAGTTTATGTTTCCTTCTATATTCAAAAATTTAGAACTTTCTATGAAGCTTACTTTACTTTAATCGTTTACATATCACAAAGTTTTGTTTCTTTTTCAAAAAAAATATCTCTTTACAAAATATAATTTTTTAAACAATTCATTGGTTATAGTTTACTTATTTGAGTAATTTTCTTTTAACAGTTTGCGTTTACTTATTTCGTTTGCACATCACAGTTTTGGTTTTTTTCAAAAAAAAAATAGTATCTCTTTATAAAATTTAAATTTAACCAATTTATTAGTGATATTTTACGTTATTTAATCTAATATTAAAATATCTTTTTTTAAAATTTAATTTCAAACAATTGATTAGTGATATTTTACGTTCTATAATATAATACTAAATTCTCTTTATAAAATTTAATTTATCCAATATCCAGTAGTCAGTTATTTGCACCTTCGCTGCCGAAATCGATAGTGTTAAAATATAGCTATGTCACTGCGTAGAAACCGAACAAGAAGCCTTCTTCCTGGTGCACGCAGTTTTATATCGTCAACGGTCAACGGTATCAGCTGTAGCTACGTTAAAGTTCAACGACCGTTGATCAAAGCTCGTTAGCTGATCCCACTGCAATGCACCAGTTAAAATCCCGCTTTACGGCGAATTCTATCTCCTATTCATGTGGAAGTCAGGAGTTGTTTTTGACTAAGCTTTGCTTTCGTTCCACACCTTTGCGCAAAAGCTTTCTTAGTTTGACAGGTCTCGTTATTAATATCTTGTTTTGATCTTATTTGTTTTTTTCAATAAAATGTTGTGCTGGTCAACGTGTTTATTTAAGTGACAGTGAAAAATTATTTTAAAATTAGTTTGTTCAGTGCAAAAGCTATGTTACTGCCGGCAATGGATTGCGGTGAGTTAGTTTGTTAATGTTTTTATCACTACTTAACAAATTTTATTTTTTTTTTAATACAGGAATCTTTGAGTTAATCAATTCAAGTGAGTAATGCCTGTTGAGTATTATGTGACTATACCCACGACGTTGGAGCAATCAAATTTTTAATAGATAAAATTTTGGTTGTTACACTCCCTCCTTCCTTTCAGAAAACGGATCTATACGTATAGCACCACTTTTAGCTATCCTTACCAACCATACCTCACCGTCTAGAGTGGCCTTAAACCGATGCCTTTTACCTTTCGACCACTTCGACAAATTATATCCATGTCGTTGCAGGCGTGCCGCTGGGTCTACGTCCACTCGACTTTCTACCATGCTTTCTTTACTTGTCTTAACCGGTGGGTCACATACCTCTGGTGTTGAACTAAGTAATATTTTTGCCAGGGGCGGCGTAGGAGGACATTCCCAACTTCGCTTGGGTAGCGGCACAACTAGTTCGTCGCCCGACCATAATGGAGTGGCTGTTAACTCCAGAACATCTTCAGTATCCCAGCCACCTGCGGTGTAATGCAAGAGACTTGTTGTCTTTTCTGGTTCAGCTGTGTTCAGGCCTTTCGCCATTTCTTCGGTATCGGTATCTTCGCCGAACAACTCTACAAAACGTACACATAGTCGCCGTCTTAATGTTTCATCTAGTTCTGCCCTAACTTTCCTTGACTGGTGGATATTCATATCTCTGAGGTTACTTCCGGAGTTGTCCAAGATAATGTTTTCGCGCCAATAGTTTTTGCCATGCTGATTCGTGTTTTAAAACCTATTAAAGTAAAATTTTATTAGTATAATATTACCTTTTTCTTTCTAACCATTAATTGTAGTAAGGTTTAATACGACTGATATGGGCCGTCAACAAATTATCAGTGTCTAGGTTACGCAATTTTACAATGACCGGTGACAGGAAATCTATGACTTCATATGGCACCGAGAACTTTGGTGCTAGTTTAGCGTTGAAGACTTCTTGGGCATTGGACAATGGTTGTGTTTTATTTAATATTAAAGAACCACACTTTGGCTGCCAATCCCGACGACGTAAATTGTAGTAACGCGCCTGATCTTGGGCCGCCTTTCCCATGTTTCCTTTCACTATGACATATACATCTAGTAGTTTAAGCGCCTTTTCCTCTGGTGATTCCATTGGCCTGCCTGTGCCAGTCGTAACAGAGTCATAAAGTGTAATCGGCAAACGCAGCTCTCGTTCTTGTGTAACAAACGCAGGTGTATAACCGGTTGAGGTTGAAATGGAGGAATTTATGGCCAGTGTAATTTTCGGTATATATTCATCCCAGTGTCGGTGGTCCAACTTCGAATTCTGAGCGATCATTGTTTTTATCGTTCAATTGGCACGTTCAGTGGGATTGCCTTGCGGTGAGTAAGGTGCTGTCT